TTGACAAATTCTGCCTCCATATCCCATATGCCACATTATAGTTAACATAGATATGGCTCAATTTATTATTTTCTCCACGGAACATCTGTGTTCCCTGCACAGGTTGCACTGCTTACTCATCTCTTCGACTGGAAACCTAGGAGTCATCCTCCCTTACTGCCCATATCCACTCAGACAGGTCAACTTGACCTGGTAAATGGATCTGGAGTCCATGTCCTTGGCTTCCTCTGTAATGTCACTGTCTTTGTAGAGACACCTCAGACCTTCATCTTTTATTCCTAGATAATCACCTAATAAAACAATATGGCTCCAGTCAATTCCACTTCCATTCCATACTTCTTCTGGGAGGATTTTTTAAAAATGCAGATGGATCTTGTAATTCTTTGTACTTCATTAGTTTTTAGCACTTGCTGCATAAAGTCCAAACTTCATGGAATGGCACAGATTGTTTGTGTTGATTCTGGCTCATGCCTACTTTTCTGGCCACATCTACTGCCTCTTGTCTGTTTATGATTGTGCTCTGGTTTTACTAAACCACTAGGCTTTCCCTCAATAGGCCATGCTTTTTCCCACTCTCTCTGGACAGCCATCCCATTCCCCCTTTTTACCTGGTAAACTCCTCCAAATCTTTCTTCAAGATCAACTCAAATCTCACCTCTTCCAGGAAGCCCTCTTTGAACTCCTGATGACACTTTGCACATAATTTTCTAAAAGGCACTCTTCACACTGTGTTATAATCATGAGTATTTGCCTTTTCCCCTGAGTGGAAAGTGAATAAGTTGAGAACATTTATCCAAAATCTTATCCACCTTTCGCATCTCCGATATCAAGCACAAGGCCCCCACCATGAAAACATTTAGCAAATTGAATATATCAGCTTAAAAATGTCTCAGATTCCATCTCTGGTGTCCAATGAGATGCTGTCAAGAAAAGAGCTTCTATAAGCTATGAACGAGTTAAGATGATAAGTATTTTCCAGCTTGATTCTATCTGGAATAATGATTCTCAACGTGAGAATGAAACATGAAGAATATTACAGAATATTGACATCCATAAATAATGGGCTTTTCAAGAATGAAAGTATACTTAAATGTATCTGTCATAGTGTCTTCTACTTGCTAACTTCATATGGTTAATGGTCACTAATAATTAAAACTAAGACAAATTAGGTCTTTCTCATGATTATTGTTAAGTTTTTTTGATGGTGTATAGGAACATGGCAAAAAGCACTACAAAAATAAGAATGACAGAGAAAAATCATGCTAAATATGCAAGTACTTGAAAATTTGCGTTCAATAAATAACACATATGAAAATGAACATGTTATTCATGCATAGATGGAAGATTTTATAGTATCTGTTTAGCTAATTTTTTTAATCCTGAATGACTGAATGTTCAATATGTGTTAAAAAGTTTTAAAATAAAGGTGTTATTGTTGTTGTAGAACATTTCCAAGAAACAACAAGCCCAGTTAAAAAGTAAGAGGCGAGGGACTGAGCTGGCAAAGCAGCTGTTCTGCATTTGCTAAATACCCAATAATAAATTTCACTGTTGAGTTGAGAAAAAAATAACATTATTCTTCTTTATGGGTAACTTTATGCAAATTATGCAAATGAACAAACGATCTCTAATTTTAGGGATGCTCTAGTGTCATAAATGAAAAGTATGCAACTTCATTTTAGAAAACTCATTACCATCTCTAGTGATTACTCTATTCTCTGGTCCGCTTAGGACTATTCTTTACTTAATACTTAACTAAATTTGAAAGGGTTTTTCTTCTTGGAAAAATTGGAACAATATATATTTAGCAGATGGTGGTTCCACAGTTTACCTTATTGAGCCTTCTAATGTAGCTTTCTCTAAACAATAATTTATTGAGTACTCTTCTTTACAAGAATTTTTCTTTGTATTTTGTGCTGTGTTGCTTTTTAATATCAAGAATTCCATGACCTCAAAAGGGGCCTTTCTTCTGACACAATAAAGGTATTTCAAACAGTAGAGTTTTTATGTAAAATTATTGAATATAGCATCATTTTTTCATATTTTTCTGGTAAAGAGATTGAGTCATTGAAAAATCAAGGGCAAAGAGAAAATTTATAACATCAGGTACTTGCTTCCTGATATTTTTTCGATTTATCATACCACCATATATTTTTTAATACTCTTCACCAAGCCAAATAGTCAAATTTAGCTTTGATATTTCTGGCCATATTGTATGAATATGACATAGGTTTCCAAGCTTAGTGTCAAGGGGCATATGCTTTGAAGTGCTCTTCAATAATGTCAATGAATGATACCAAGTTATGTATACTCTCTTGTGAGTTATTCTTGGCTTATGAAAAATAGCATCGTATATGAAACTACTGCCAAGGTTGCAATCAGAATGTAGACTGACTCTAAACAGAAGTCGCAAAATAGACTGCACGACAATTTTATTTCACAGTCATAGCCCCATCAGCTAGATGCTCTACTGAGAAACTCAGGCCAAACTAAATCAGCTTACGCTTTGGAACATGAGCTTTTACTTAAGCTTTTACTCAGTTACGTAATAAAATGTGAGCCGTTTAAATTTTTTTCTTGTGTTGATCCATACACACATAGTAGAGTCATTTCGATTAAGTAATAATGATTAAGTAGAACCATAGACACAAAATGAGAAAGAATATTAGTAATGATTTAACCAAAGTCTTCATGAATCTCCTGCCAACATTCCTTAAGGGGATGCTCCACCCTTGTACATCTTTACTGACATAATCTCATACTCTCCGGTCCTGGACAGTTTTCCTTATTGGGAAGTTATTGCTTATCCCAAAACTTACCTCTGTGTTACCTTCGTCTTAGTGCAAGATTCTTTAAACAAAGAATTAACCAACTTTAACCAACCAAAAAATGAGGGTCATAGTGGATGTTTGTTTTAATGGAGGATATTTCTGTCTACAATGTATTTTTTTTCTGAATTCTTTGGTTTCTCACAATTTGTGCAATAGGATAGGGTAGATTGAAAGGGTCTAGGACCTAGTACTCCTCTTCCTCAGCTGGGAGATGGACCCAGCTGTAAAAAGGAGGGTGTAGAGTATATAGTAATTGAGCAGGCAGGACATAGAATCTGAGGAAACTGAACAAAAAAAGAGATAAAGAAGTCCAGGCAGGAAGTCAGAAACAGGGATGTGCGGAATGTTCTTTTTGGTATCCTAGATATATCTAAATATGTGTACATCATAAACTAATGGTATTATTTATGACTACAATGGCAAACATTATGTTCCAATCTTGAAAACTCAGCTATTTTTACAAATATAAATTTCCTGAGGGCATGATTTATGTCCTTGGAGATGATTAGGAGCCTCCCAACTTTCCCCAATAATTTGGGCTCTATCCATTAGTTACCCTTGATTTCACTCTCATTGAAATTGGGCACATTGACAAGCTAGGAATCTGATGAGGCAAATTAGCTCCATTAGTAAAGGGAGCTTCCTCATAACCCTAGTGGCTAGTGTTCCCTGCCAAGATGTTGTTGCCTTAAAAAGATTTTCCAGTTGAAAAATGTTTTATTAGGCAAGTAACTGAACACAGTGCTAAAGTGACCGGCACTTTGTTTTGAAAAGAAAGGTTAGGATGGTGGGGTACTGCAAAGGTCAGAGAGAGAAGGAGCCTGAGTTCTTGTCCCACCTCTGTCTCTAACCTTGGATGTCATCTTGGTCACAGAGAATTTTAGAAGTCACGAAGATGGCGGGAACCAAAAGAGGCTGCGGTTTAACACTTTGGCCAGTTTAGCTTTCTTTCAAACTGTAAAGTTTCCTTAACTGAGAAGCCAGTACCTATAGCATCACAGCAGTAGTAGTATAAAAACAGTACACATAATTTTCCCCCAAGGAACAATAACGGAGGTAATCACATCTAGGAGGAGACTAGACACTTTCTTGCCTTCACATTTGTGTGTGGTGTGTGTGTGTGTGTGTTCATGATCAGACTTTAAAAGATCCACAAAGAATGCAAATAATAAGAGTTAACAGTTGCACATTTGTCTGAGATGAATGCTAAGGTTAGGAAGGAGAAAAGATACAGGAGCTGATGCTGTTTATATATTTTTAGATTAAGATAGATTTTTGTCTTCTATTGACTACACTGACTGTTTGGAAACACACATAATACCTTGTTACAAGACAAAAAATGAATCTGAATGAAGCCAGTGTTTGGGAGTAATGTACCTTTACATTGGCACCTCTCATATATCATAGGAAGAGTGGGTTGGTGGGGACTTGGGAAGGCTGGTGGGCATGGGAATACATACCAAATTAGAATTCTTTATGATTATTGGTAATTTCTAGGCATTGTGCACTGGAAGACTGGCCCTATGAAAAGATTTACTTGGAAATGAAAATTTATCATATCTCACAACTCTAAGCCAAAAGCCAAGTAATGAGAATATGGAAATGTAAAAACTTATTTTTGTATTCATTAGCAAATATTGCCCCCTACTACATGCAATGGAGCTCTGTCAAAGCATCACTCACTTCTGGATCCATATAGAATTTAGAAATGGAAACATTCTTAAAATTCCTCTAAAATGTAAAGAGTCTTCTCAGTTAAATAGTTAACACTGTCCTGAAGAAACATCCATAACATAAATGGTTTTAAGGAAAATAATTGAGATTCATAGACATTTGGAGAAACAAACTGGTTGTCAACTATTACAATGTATTTTAAAATTGGTGTAGTAATATTTACCTTTTAATAGAAAATCATGAAAAAGTTAAACAACATTCCATCTCATTTTCTTTCTAATGGAAGGCTAGAGTGAAAAGGGCATAATTAATTGATGTGAAAATAAAAAAGCTAAATGTATTAATTTATTTTAATCCATTTAATATCAATCAATTCAAGGACCATAAACTATTACTTTGGATGTGAATTTTTGAATAATAAATTACAGATAGATTGTTTTAAAGGTAGAAATAAAAGCAGGAAATAAAACTAAAGCCAGGTAGACACAATCTTACCTGAAGTTGCTTTTTGTTCTCTTCTCTTCTCCAGTCTTCCTGAAATGAGAAGTTGCAGATAAGTTGCAGTGTCAGGCCACGAAAATATGATGTAAATAAGATGAAAGCCCAGTTTATGGTGATTTCCAAACACAGTCACTACTCCAGCCCTGGCCAATATGCTTCTGGAGATGATTGGGCACAGTTGACAGGCATGAAAAATGCTCTCAAACCAATTTATGCAAGTCAAAAATAAATACATATGCATTGAATACACTGTTGAGTTTCTAAAATCTCGTTAGTAAGAGTCATTTGCTTAACAATCAACCTACAAAGTGCAAATCCCCATATATGGTACTATGGGGAAAACAGCTAAATAAAATAAGACCACGTCCTCTTACAACCTACTTGAGAAGATAGAAAGGACAGACAATATAACATGAAATGAGACGTGCCTCAAAAGGTGCAGGATGTTTGAAGATATGAGAGGATGAAGCAGTTATTTTAAGAAGTGAGGGGGTGCTCATGAAGTTATGGAGAAAGTGGTATTTGATTTGGACCTTGAGATATAAATGGCATTTGAGAAATTTGAAATATGGAAAGGACTAGCTCTTGGCAAAGGAAACAGGATGGGCTAAGTGGACAGGGTATTTGAGCAAGAAGAGTCACGTTTAGTGCTTGCTTGAGGAACTTGAACAGCAACAGCAATGCGTAGGAAGAGGATTGTCCTAGTGATTAGGCACAAGGTAATGAAAGGACGGACCAGGTTGTGACCATGAGAACAGGGAGGAGGGAAGCAGTGGATGCAAGAGACAGTGGGGAGGCAGAAATAATAGGGCCCAGGGGTTACAAAATGGGAGCTGCAAGGGAGGAGGAGAGGTCGAGATGAATGGCTACCTAGGTGACTTTGGGCAGAGTGATGCAATTCGGGGAAACAGTAACATGTGACGGGGCCAGGAATGATGAGTTCAGTGTTAGACTTACTGAATCTGAATTGCTCTTGGCACCTGGAGCCTGCAAGAGGCCACAGTTGAAATTACAGATGCAGGAAATGCCCACCTTGAGAAGATGGCTGAAGGTGAGGGTGTGAATGGAGTGTACAGGCAGACAGCACAGGGGGTGGACTGAGGACAATAACCAAGAAAACCAAACCACGGCTGTGGTTTGCAGGTGAGATCCAGGGAGATCAACAGAGTGCGGAGTTGTGTGCTAACAATATAGTTTTAGAAGTACGGGGGGCGGTTTTCAACAGCACTTTGTGCTGCTGCTGAGTTCGTGCGATTGTTGCTAGAACATGAGAGAGCAGTTTTAGTGGAGAGCCACAGGGGACACAGGAGAGACTGTGAAAGCCTGGAAAGCAAGTGGGTGATGAGGATGATGAGGTTGAGGATATGGCTTCTCATTCATCAAATCTGGCAGCTTCCAAACGAGTGAGACAGGGCAACACTTAAGCAGAGACAGACTCATGGCTTCTGCTGTGCTGTGGACAGGTGAGCATGCTTACGGACTTAGGTAAGAAACCGCGCACCTAAGCCACGGGGTGTAAGCACCACTGTGGAGCTGAGAACCGTGGTTTGGGATGAGTCAATGAGGACCATCCTTCCAGCCCTCCTTTCTTGTCTATCAACGTTTCACGGCTGGAGTAGTTACTGAGAAGTTAGGCAACACATGGAAGCTACATGTCAACTTTATCCACATTTTTCTACCAGCCCTTGTTGTCTTTTAAAATCCTAAAATATAAGGTGGAAAATGTACAATCTTTTCTCATGAAGTTGCCAAACGTGTAAAATTCATTTAACTGGCACCTTGATTAATGGCACATTCTATAATCATTTGGGTGATTTCCAGAGGATTTGTTTGATGCAATTTAGTTCAATGAGTCAAGCAGATAAATGACACGAATAGTCCATTTAAAGGCCTCATTCATTACCAAGTATGATAGAGTAGTTCCTCATTTAAGTTTTCTACTGGGAAATCCACTGTTTACTATTTTATACTTATAAATACTAGAGGCCTCAAACATTTTCATGAATTTAAAAAAAATGGTATTTAAAGCTGGAGTTATAAAATGTTTAAAGAAAAACTTCTCTTTGGAGAGTCTTTAATTGTATTAGAATGAGTCATAAATCCTAAAAGTTGAAAGTGAATGTATTTGAGATAAATATTAATAATATGGTGTGGTAATCAAGGTGTTCCCAATGCTTCTCCTCTTTCCTTCCCCTAATATTCCTGTCTTTTCACAGTCCCCTCCCCACTGAATTAGAGTGACTTGTGTAACCAGTAGGATTTTGCAGAAATGAAGGACTGTGACTCCTGAGCTTGGGCTTTAAAAAAGTTGCAGCTTCCATCCTTCTTTCTTTTGGAGCACTCCTTCTGGGGAAAGCTAGATCATATAATATGAGTGCACTCAAGCAGCCCTATATGAAAAGGCCCATGCAGCATGGAAATCAGGCCCATAGCAATAGCCAATGAGGACAAAGACCTCTTGCCAAGAGTCAATATCACCTTGCCAGGCATAGGAGCAACCCGTTCATTAGCCCCAGTCAAGCCTTCAGATGACTGCAGCTCTGGCCAACATCTTGACCTTAACTTCATAGAAGACCCAGACCTAGGACCATCCAGTTGGGCCACGCCAGAGATCCCCACAGAAACAGTGTGAGATGATAAAAGTTTATTGTTGTATTAAGCTGCTAGATTCAGGGAAAATTGTTATACATATTATAAAAGTCTATGATAATTTATTACTTACTCAATGTCATATAGCTACAGTAATCCTAACTGTGGGTGAGTCAATCATTCTCCCTGAGTTTACCATCTGTAAAGTGAGGATCAGAACCTGCTTGTCTGGAATGCTGTGAGGAGTCAGTAATGCTGTGTGGTGGGCCAGCAAGAAATGGATGAAAGTAAAACGAAATATGGGGGTCCAGTTTTCAGAAGGGATCCTGGAAGGCACGGCTGACAATGTTTTTCCGCCAAGACCTCAAACAATTCTCGGCCCCTGTGTTATAGGAAAGGGCTTTGTAAACTATAGAGGGCTGTATAAATGTTATTTATAAGTTTTATTATAAGTTAGTTCTGTTATAGGAATCTACTTAGATTTATATACTTATATATCCACTAAACTTCAAATTAAAAAATTAAAATTAGATAAATAAGACAATATTATATCAATCAAGGGACACAGCGATAGCTTTGCTTAAATGGAGACCATCCGCCGGGTTCCTTTTTTAGTCTCTTTATCTTGCTCTGTATGAAATATCTTATCTCTGATTCTCTCAATGTTTGCCTTTATAGAAAGAGATAATTCTGAGACTGTATCTCTAGCTCCAAAATCTACCTAGGTTTTAAACCTACTGAAAATCTCTACCTGTACCGTCTACTGCACTTCAACACATACCCATAACCTAAATCATGATATTCCCCCACAAAACTGCTCATCCTTGCTCCTGTCTGCGTAGGCACCCAACATGAAACCTAAGAACCACTGGCTTCTCCCTTCCACGCAGCCTCTGCATCTAATCTGTCCCTCGGTCTGTTACCTTCTCCCTCTATAAGGCCTTTCAGATCTATCTCCTCCTTTCTCACCGTCATCACCCTTGTTCATGAATTCAATATATGTTCCTGGGTTATCTACTTTCTATAGACCCCTAACTGGTTTCATTGGTTTTTCCGTCCTTGCAGTTCAATCTCTCCTAAATATTAAAATCCACATTTCTTAATACAAAATTTATGACCCTGAATGATTTGGCCACAATCTACTGTCTTCTGCCACACCCCAGGCACTGCAGAGAATACTTACCCAGTATGCCAGGAATTACACCCCCCCACCCCAACTCCCCATTCATGTGGATTCCGCTTCCTAGAATGTCCTGCCATGTGGTCCTGTCTGTCAAAACCCTGTTCATCCTTTAGAGTTCAGCTGGATGCCCTCTGTGAAGTCTTTCCTTTGGGCCAGTTCCTCAAACTCCCCATGTCCTGCAGAATTAAGCGCCCTTCTTCTGTGCTCCTGTAGCCCTTTGTTTATGCCTTCACCATAGCACTAACTCCCGCGCTTGATTCATAATTAGTTGCATGCTTGTTTCCCTAACGGGATTGTGGCCTCCTTAAGAATAAGTGGTGAGTCTTAGTCTTTTTGTCTCCTGAAGCCTAGCACTGTGCCTTACAAATGCTCCAACTTATCCTAAAATGCTAGAGAACATGGCCAGGTGTGGTGGCTTACGCCTGTAAACCTAGCACTTGAGGAGGCTGAGGTGGGAGGATTGCTTGAGGCCAGGAGTTCGAGACCAGCCTCAGCAAGATCGAGACTCCCATCTCTACAAAAAGTAAAAAAATTAGCCAGGTATGGTGGTGCACACCTGTAGACCCAGCTACTTGGGAGGCTGAGGCAGGAGGATCCCGTGAGCCCAGGAAGGAGTTTGAGGTTGCAGTGAGCTGTGATGATGCCACTGCACTCTAGCCAGGCAATAGAGTAAGACTGTCTTAAAAAAAAAATGCCAGAGAACATGAAGTAAATTTTAGGTCTGCTAAAATTCAGTGAAAGTGCAACCAAGAATAGAGCTTTTAGCAGATATGTATATTACAACTGACAACCTAGAAAACTATTATATTAGAAAAGTGGGTGATAAAAGAAAGGCTTTCAGAATATTGAACACATTCTGCCCTAGTTATGCTTTATTTTATCACAGATTCTAGTTTAGAAACAAAACATTAAAGTATGGTTTGCATCTTATGCCTGTTTAAACCAGGATGCAGCACTCCACCTGGGAAAAATAAAAATGGACCATAATCTCATAAAAATTGAATTTGCAGGGTAAAACTTCTTTTCTTATATGAAAAAATGCATTTAATTGAACACTAAAATTCCACATCTCATGAGTATTTATTTGTGTAAACTGGCTCTTGATATTTTTTAAAGCTATTTTAGGCTCTAAGTTGTTGATATTGTTCCATGGAGAAACATTAAATAAATATCAATTTATAGCACATTTCAGTACTTCAGTAGGAAGTAGTCTCCTAATCATGGAGACTGTTTCTAATCTTTTAAAACCGCAGGCACATAAATG